ACTGCTCCATCAGTGGATGAGGTCCCAAGTGCCAGCCTGGCTGAAAGGATGGACCAGACCTGGCCAAACCAGCCAGGCTGACCCAGGGCTGAGCCACGCAGGTTGCGTGGCACAGCTGAGGACTGATGCCAAATGATGGAACCATCAGGGGACGAGGAAGCTGAGGTTTCTGTGGGGGCAGTGGAACTCAGATGAGCCTGGGACAAGGGCAGAGCATCAGCAAGCGAAGATACAAATGCATTGGGTCATTTCCCAGAGGAGGGGGGGAAGGCCTGGAGATGAGCAGGAGGGTTTCAGAGGGCACTGTCAGTCCCCTTTGGTGCCATCTGCCTCAGCACAGAGCTCTAGGTGTGTCCTGGTCCTCGTCTGTTCATCTTTAGGCCACACAGTGATGCTGTGGAACAGCCTTGGGTGAAGCTGCACTGGGGCTGTGGTGATGCTGGGAGGTGACTGACAGATTCCTGTGTTACTCACCTCTATTTACAACTCACCAGGAACTGAGGGCAGAGCAGAGGAAAGAAGATCAGCAAAGAATGGCCTGAGAAAGAGTAAGAGGAGAGATCCTGGAAGTGGTGGAACCTTGAAGACAGTGCACATGGGAAGCAAAATGTGCAGCCCTGTGGCCTCCACCAGTGTGGTTTAACCCCAGCTGGCAATCAGATACCACACAGCTGCTTGCTCACACCCCCCCCACCTTCCTCTCTTCTCCCCTGGTGGGCGGGAGGTTTGGAAAATATAACTAAACCTCACGGGTTGAGAAAAGGACAGTTCCATAAGTAAAATAAAATAAAATATAAAGACATCTCCCAAGTCCTTGAACCTCAAGGTGGGGGAGAGGAGAGCATGTTCGAGATCACCTGATGGAACTGAGTGGGCACAAGTCTGGGGGGCCTGATGAGATGCCTGCCAGGATCCTGAGGGAATGGGATGATGGGGCTGCCAAGCCCCTCTCTATCCTATTTGAAAACTCTAGCAAAGTCCCTGGGGAGTGGAACTAGGGAAATACTGCTCCTCTTTTTAAAGAGAGGAGAATGGAAGATGGGGGGGCTACAGATGGGAGAGCCTCACCCTCTGTGCCCGGGGAGGTTGTGGAGCAGATCCTCATGGAAGCGATGTTAAGGCACAAGCCAGACAGGGAGGTGACCTGAGACAGCCAGCATAGCCCCACCAGAAAATTGTTCCTGACCACTGGTGGCCTCTAATGACAGAGCAACTGCAACGGTTGACAAGGGGGGACCGACCCACGTCACCTGCCTGGACTGCTGCAAGGACACAGTCCCACACAGCATCACCTCCAAACCAGGGCTGCTGGGGAAGGAGCTACAGGAACACTCAGAGGGTGGGGAAGGGAACCCATAAAATCTGAGGAAGGGAACCACAGGGGCTTGGGGAGGGGAAGAAGGGCCTGTAGGAATCCAAAAGGGCGAGGGGAGAGGTCATGTGGGGCTGGGGAGGAGCTGTAGGAACCCACAGGGGCTGTGGGAAATGGGGAGGAGTTATAGGAACCCACAGAGCCACAGAATGGTTTGAGTTTGAAAGGACCTTAATGATCATCTCCCTCCAACCCCCCTGTGTGATGGCAGCCATCACAAAACTCACCACTGTATGATGGCAGCCTCGTTAGGGCCCGTTTCCAGGGATGCTGCCATGGCAACCAGCAGTGAGGCCCGTTTCTAGGGGCAACCTTTACACCTTTCCATTTGAAGCCCACTGGGGCCCTGGTCCCACACAGGTGGCCTCCCACAGGTCTCTGAGCACCCTGAGCAGATGTCAGCCTGTACTGACCCAAGGGGTCTACCTGGCTGCCAAAACCCACCGGTTCTCAAGCTGCTGTTTCTGGGTTTTGAAATCCACTCTCTAGTATTGCTGTTCCAGATCATACACAAAGTGATAACAGGTCACACATCACCAGTGTCCTGGTACAGGACTGGGCCAGGAGGGAGGGGTTTTGCACACACCCTGCTGTCCCCAGGGAAATGTGATGGTGGAGCATGTGAATGGTCTGTTAAACCCTCCAAATCAGATAAACAATGATAGGGGTCGATGGGCAGGCCTGTATCTATGGCTTTCTTGAGCTCCATGTCTCTCAAATCAGGTCCAAATAATAAAATGGATGGCTTTCAGGACAGTCTGAAGGTGAGCCAGCCAGTCATGGTCGATTATACACAGGACAAGGATGTGCTTGTTTCCAACCCCCTGTGACAACAGCAGAGAACACATCCAGCTTTCCAACCTCAAAACTCTCAAAACTATGGATTTGTATCTTTACTCCCATAGCAGGATGTGATTTTAATTATTGCTTAGGAGAAACTGTGTTACAGAACACACATGGCAACTTCATGTTACCCAACAGTTTGTCTCCAACACCGACTGAAAGGGACATTATCTTGGTCAAAAAACTGCTGGAATGTCCTGCCCTGCACAGGCTGCTACAATAGCTGAAGAAGAAAAGTCAGAGGACACAGATCAGTGTCCATCAAAATATGCAAAAGACACATCATGCCCTAGAACGAGTGAGGAGAGATGGAGAACATCACTGGGGAGTAAACTTTCTTGGGTGGTCCCCAACTGCCACAGGCTTTTTCAACCTAATTCTACATCCTGCATTTTGGGATATTGATCCCAGCTGGGAGTTGTTTTGTGTTAGTAACTGCAGTGTATGTAAGAGTGCAGTCCCTAACCCAGCAATTGAGAAAACTGATTTTTCCAGAAATACAAAGGTTGAAGTAAAAAATGCGTGTTCATTTTGCCAGAACCAGATGCTATGTTTTATTTAGTAGATATTGCTGAGTTTTAACATTTTAATATAAGAACTAACACCTTTTAAGTCAAGTGAGTTAAGGTAAATGACAAATCATAGGAGAGTGATGTTGCTCAATGTATTTACCAATATGTATACACACACACTGTGGACACCTTGGGTGAGAAACATCCACCTCTGCTTGATGAGACAGCTCTGATATAATTCATTTAATAAGAAGTGCGCTATCCTAATAGCTTTACTGTGTAGTAAATAATTCAGTGAAAGCCTTTTGTCCTTTTCCCTGTGAAGGTGCTGAGCAAAGGGGAAGCAGTAGCACTGAGCCTCATATTGTGGGAGCCCTTGCACGAGCAAAAGGTGCCAGCCTCCAGCTGACACAGGTGGCCTGGACACTGGAAAACCTCTGGCTGCCATCCATACTTGGATTGCACTGCCCCAAGAGGGACAGCACTTGAATAGGGAAGAAGCCTTGGAAAACAGAGCAGCTGGAGACTGCTTGTTACTTCAGGTGTGAAGATTTGGAAGGACTTTATTGTTTCAGTCTCACACATAAACCAATAGAAGCCAAATTTAAAAAAACTTCAGAGCTTCAGTACAGAACATAAGACATGACCCGAAAGGGATAGATAGGTGGAATGGCTGGTCAAATATGTTTCCTTCTATTACCTCAATATTGAAACAATTTATCAGTTTGATATTAAAGATATTCAGAGTTTTACTCCTTGTAGACTTCACAGTCTGCTGTTTTACTCAAGTGTGGCCAACAGGTCTTGCTCAGTTTCATGGATACAAATATTATTCTGCTCCAATTTAAAGAGTGCAGGGAATGTTTTATACGAAATAGCTCCAATGTAAAGGTGGCTTTGAAGACAGGAGCAAGAGAACTTGACCAACAGCAACCTGCTCGTACAGCTGAGTCTGTTCTTAGAACCAAACACATCAAACTGCCTGAAAGCAGCGAGGGTGCAACAAAACTGTACAAACTTGGTGAATGACTATTTACTGGGCCTGACTCCACTTGCTTGGTGACATCTTCCCTGTAATGCCTTCAGGGAAGAGCTGGGCTCACACACCAGTCCTGCTGCTCCCCGGGCTGGGCTGAGGGGCTGGGCATGGCTGAGCTCCCACAGAATCCCACAAGGGGTCCGGTTGGAAGGGACCACAGTGGGGCATCTGGTCCCACCTCCCTGATCCACCAGGGTTGTCCCAGAGCGCATGGCCAGGATTGCATCCAGACAGTTCCAGAATATCTCCAGTGAGGAGGCTCCACACCCTCTCCGGTCTCTGTTCCAGTGCTCGGTCACTGCACAGCAAAGTTCAGGAGGAACTCCGTGGGCATCAGTTTCTGCCTGTGGCCTCATGTCCTAGGGGTTTTCACCACCAAGAACAGCCTGGCTCCATCTTCTCGGCACTGCCCTTTGGATATTTATCCACACTGACTGAGGGAATGTGAGACTCGCGTCCCCGGAGGGTTCTGAGGCTGCAGCCACAGACAGGAGCGGGGAGAGCAGCGCCTGCAGAGAGTCCCGGCCCCTCCGCTGCCTCCCGGAACCCTCCAGCTGCTCCTCATCTCATCTCATCTCATCTCATCTCATCTCATCTCATCTCATCTCATCTCATCTCATCTCATCTCATCTCATCTCATCTCATCTCATCGCATCTCATCTCATCTCATCTCATCTCATCTCATCTCACAGCGAAAGGACACGCCCTTGACGGGGGTCCTGCTCTGCCATCCCGCCTTCCAGCCAGTTTAACCCCCCATGCTCACAGACCCCCCACTGCTGAGCAGTTGTGATATCCTGCCCCAAAGGGACTGTGGGTTTGCCGTTCCCATCCAGGACAGGGCGTGGAAAAAAAGAGAAAAACCCAGAACAGAATCCAGAGTGACCCCTGTCCAGCGAGAGCAGGTCTGTGAGCAGAGCTTCTGGGGGAGCTCGCTCTGAGAAAGGACCCTGGAAAAAGGATCAGAAGGCAAAGACCATCACTGTCCCTCACACAAGGTGAAAGGCAGGCTGCCTCAAAAAGGCAGCAGCAAAGCTTGTTATATGAGACAAAAATGCAGGTACTCCTCACCTCCCACCCTCAGATGCCCTGTGAAGTTGTGTCTCAGCGTGACTGAGGCTGTAGAAGGGAACAGATGGACACTGTAGAAAGGAAAGATGGGACACCCACACACACAGAAACCCCCCATACACAGTCCAGTCTGCCTCGAGGGAAGCACAAACAAGCTCTTGGCAGTAAAACTCTTTATTGGCAAAACAAGGGTGTGGGTCTGTGTGTGCTGTCCGGGGGCTCTTCACCAATCCTGCCACACACCTGGCTCTGCTCAGACGGGCTGTGAGTGCCCAGATCTGCGCCGAGCCCCGGCCTGGGCAGGGGGCTTCGGCCCCACTGGAGGGACGGGCTGGAGGGGACACTCTGGGTCCAGGGATGGGAGGGTGTCCTCAGCAGCACCGCCCTCCTTTCCACCTTGGGGTGTGGGTGGCTTTGTGGCAGACCCTTGGAAATTCCCTTCGGGCTTTGGTGCAGTCCCAGGTTGACCAAGTCGCTCCAATAAAGACTGAACAATCCGATTTGCCATGGTCCTTATATCCAAATTGTTGGCTAAGCCTGTTGCATTAATTTCTCTCTCCAAGTTCTCCTCCACTGTTGCAAGAATGTCAGCCTCCAAGGTTTTGTCATAGCCAGTCCCTTCTGCTTGGTCCTGTGGTTCTAAGGGGTGCAGCTTTGCTCCTTTGCTTGCTTCCAGCCTCTGCTGTTCAGACGCTGCGGGTTCTCCTGACTGGAGCTTCCTCTTGGAGACCTTTTCCTTGTGAAGTTCCAGGATTTCAGTGTACCCATAGCCTTGTCCTAACCAACGAGCTATGTAGGATTTCAAGAAGAAGCGAGCACTTTTAACAACTTCTTGGGTGAGTTTGTCAAGGCAAGTGTGTAAACGTTCTCTGTCTAAAGCTTCCTTCAATCTTTCTGCTCGGGTGGTTCCTCCATCAACAGGCCTGGCTGCTGCCCCTGCCTGAGCAGTTCTGGATTCCAGATGGTCCCCCAAGTTGTCCAACACCATTGCTACAAGCTCTTGGGCCATCACTTCTATTTTCTGGTGGCGATCTAGAGGTTTCTCTAAAGGCCCTGGTCTCCTGCATCTGTGAGCAGGCTGTCCTCTGATCCCCCGGGCAGCCCTCCTTAAAAAGGTGATATGCTGATCCTGAGGAACCTTCAGCTTCCCAAACACTTTGTGCACAACAATATGTGCCAGATATTGGAGCTTCTGGGCTTCTGCTGCAGTTAGTTGTTCCTCTGCCCATGAAAACACATCTCGCCGTCCCAACATCTCCTCTGCTTGCAGCTTGAGCCTGGTCACATAGTCCCTGTACTGATTGAACTCCTTCAGAGTGCAAATCACCTGTGGAGGGATGAGGGCAGAACCCCCCAGGCACTGTCAAGCCACAGCAGAACTGCCCTCCCCGAGCCAGCCCCAGCCCAGCGGGAGGGGAGCTGCTCCTCTGCTCCCCATTGCCCCCCTTGCCCCGGTGTCAGAGCCCCTGATTTCCCCAGCAGGGCTGAGCGATGCTCCTCGCCCCGGCTCCAGCCTCGCCCCCGCTGCCTCCTCAGCAACCCGCTTGGAGAGGGCTGGTTTTGGTCAGCCCAACATCCAAACTGACCTTGTTATCACGGGTGACAAGGCCCCGTCTCCTCAGCAGCTTCAGGACGTCCTTGCGATGGTGGTACTCCCGCAGGTGGGGGTCATGCAGGCAGTTGTACTCTATGCTGAGGTGGTGGCTGTAGGGATCATCCAGGGAGTAATAAAGACATGGACCTTGAAGCTGTAAGAGAGATTTTCCAGAGTGTGAAGGAGTCAGGAGAGAGTGGCAAAGAGGTGACACACGGTACTTGTGAAAAGGTAAAGGTACTTTGAAGACCAACACTTTTCTCCATCCTTCTGAAGGCACA